CCTTTTCAACTTGTAAACCACTTTTCATATGCTGTATATAGTCTTTGAAAGCCAGTAAGAAAAGTAAAAGGTGGGAAGAGCAACAGACAGCCTCCTACTTCCTAAAAGGAGATGCAAGACATAATGAAAGTGCTTGTAATAGCACATGTTGGAGCCAAGATGGTGGTTTTTAATAAAAGTGAGAAAGGGTAGATGACTTTCCCACTGAAATTGTGGAAACACAGATGCTATCCAACCTTAGAAATGTAAAATTGCTCATGTTTTTGATCTTGGGACCAAAGGAAAAACTACAGATTCCACCATTTGGAACATTTAATGGAAGAGTTTTAAAGGAAACCATTATTATAATCATGGTACCCACCGGCACTATGAGAATCCAAGCTCTGTCCACATTTTCTTTATAAATTCACCATTAGGGCTTTTTAACTCATCCAGTATTATTCAGCTGGAGCTAAAAACTCTGAAATGTAAGATCTTAAAGTATGAATGATATTATTCCAAGAATTAAGGAGGAAAATGGATATCATGTGATTCAGACACAATAGAAAAATGTTTGGCATAAGCAGCATCTTAACAGGTATTAGCTGTCTTTTACTCTGTTTTTCTTGCTTTGAAAGAGGGTGGGGATTTTACTTTTTCATTTGAAGGGAGGGTACTGACCTGAAATGGAATTCTATATCATCCACTAACCATAAGCAAAAGTTTTAAATTAGTATATGATAGTTTAATAAACTCTTTTAACAAAAAGCCTACACTTTCTGGGTCTGAAGGCTTGGAATCTCATAAAGAAAGATTACTTTTAAGAACTCTGGCACTTTGCTTTTAGTCTAAACCATAAAAAACTAGAAGAACAGCCATTTCTAATCCTGTCCAGTACATTCCAGTTAGATGGAAGCAAAAAGACATGGAAAAAAAAAAAACTATTCTGTCATTTCAAAACTTTAACAAATAATGAATTAAATTCCTTCTTCAATAAGGGTCAAAGCTGAAGGGTTCTGATTCCTCTGAATATGTTTCCCTTATCTCTATGTTCTGTACTCCTTGACATTATTTGTTTTCATCTTCCTTCCTTGAGATGACTTGCCTTAAATACAAAATCAGAGATTAAAAAAAAGTAGCAGTTCATAACTTACAAAGGCAAGTGAAATACATTTATTTTTAAACAACTTAATCTTGAATAACAGTTCATTTTGCCATTTATTATGCTTGAAAAACATGATAAATGATGCCTAGGACCACATTAAATGGATAAATCAGAAGACAACAACTGAAACTGTATAATCCATTTAATTCACTATGGCCAATCTACACAGTTACAAAATAGAAGAGACTAAGGAAGAGGACGCTGAAAAATTAACACAATGAATTGTCCAAGGCCACCTACTTGCCTGTAATCACACAGATGTAACCCTATCTGTCTACTCTTGCTAATCCATCCATTATATTTTGACCCGCATGGGTCTAAAAAAAAAAAAATAGATGTAATCTATATGAAGTTCTAACTTTAAACTCCCTCTACCTCATAGGTTTACTAAAAGTCAGCCGAATGATTATTAGAATGCAAAGCAATTTAGATTAATTTTCTGGTAGGGCCTGACATTCCCTATCTTAAAATTGTTTACATTTTCCTATTTCTTCATCAAAAATTCACTTAATGAGTGAAGTTCATAATAATAGATTCATTTTAGACAAAGTATGCAATAAATAGGTAAGTTTCTGAAACTATAACAACAATGTGTTTTTTTTTTTTCCCACTATTGGGCTTTTTATCTTACAATGCACACAGTCTTCTTATTTAACCTTTTTGGCTACTCTTACATCCTAACATGAAGTAAAAAGCAAACTGATTCATGTGTCAGCATAACTAAATATGGCTGTCATCTTCTTATAAGCAGTAATTGTGCTAAAATTCTGAAGTTAGAAGGCTTACTGTAACTCAGAAGCCAAAAGTTCAGACATTCAACCAAAGTTGATCCAAAACCTCTTGGGTTGGAAATATAACAAAACGAGCTTTTCCACTAAATGGCCCGTACTTCCTGTTTTTAGCCAAACTGGAAATGCAATAGGAACAATACTTCTTATGGTATGTCACCGCTTCTGCTTTTGGTCTGAAAACACCAACCAGAGTCTGTGAGTGTGACGAATCACAAGAAAAAAAAAAAAAAGTTGAGTAGAGAGGTGTTCTGGGCTAAGAAAGGAGAGTTAATGGGAACAGAATTTCCCAACTTGACCACTAGTTAACCATAGCTTGGACACCCAATGTACTATGAGTCACTAGCTACTTGCTCCAAAATAATACAAGAACATTTTGGGCTAGATCATTGCTGGAGTATATTTTTAATAATATTTCCAGAAAGAATTAAGTAGAAACAGTTATTTAATGGGTAAAAGTACTCACATAAATTCCTTTTTGCAAAATAATTTGGAAATGAGATAGCACAAACAACCTGCTAGACAGATAGTCTGATAATGTTATTCACCACATTCACTTAAAAATTTTAGGCAAAAATCACAGCTACCACCAACAGGGTTGATAATAACTCTTCACAGGAAGAGTGTGGAATTGTTAAAAACAGAACACACACTGAATTTTCAAAGGCAAAGTCTCAAAAGTTTTATAGATTGTGACTATAAGGATGTTTTATATTTTCCAAAAACCCACTTAGGAATGTTGTCTTTGACTTCGTTTCTTAAAATAGTCTCAAAACTTCCTAACCAATGAGCTAAAACACTAATACTCAACCATTTGGTTAGTATATTTATAAGATCTGTACAAAACTGCAAACTCAATTAAGAAACCAAATTTGGGAATTATTGCTTGAATGTACCATAAATGAATGCTATAATGTGAAGTTGAATGAGTCACTTACTGATGAAGTAAGGGAGTGTCCCCTTCTACAACCTGGTAATAGTACTTTCTCCCCAGTACAGAAGTCCCAAAGATAAAGCACACCACCCTCCCCTCCTCAAAACAAACATAGGAAGAAAAGAAAACAAGTGTTTAGGATTTTCAGCCAAGATGAGAGAGCCCTAAAAGTTTAAAATACACAATCATCCCTCAGTCATCCCTCAGTATTTGGGGGTATAGTTCCAGAAAGCGCCCAGAGATACCAAAATCCATCATATGCTCAAGTATCTTATATAAAATGATGTAGTATTAGCTTATAAACTCATTGTACTTTTAAATAATCTCTATATTACTTATAATATCTAAATACAACATAAACCCTCTGTCAGTGGGGTTAACTATATTTTATTATTAGGTTTACTATAATAAACCTAATAAGTAGGTTTATTATATTCTGTTGTTTGGAGAATAATGGCAAAAATAGTCTGTACATGTTCAGTATAGACACAATTATTTTCTGATTATTTTCTAACTGCTGTTGGTTGAATCCACAGATGCAGAATCCATGGATATGGAGGGTCAACTCTATACTGATACTAACCTCTGAAGGAAATTTACGAACCCCTACAAAGAAGAGTAAAAAATAATAAAATAATGAAATGAGACAGCAGAATGGAGACACAGATTTAGGTGTCACTGGCTTCCCCAGCCACTCCTTCTTGGAGATCTCTCAGGACTAGTGAAGGAAGAGGCCACTCAGCCTGCTGGTCAACCTATAGGTCTGGGATTTGGTGGTGCAGCCACCCACACAAAACACAAACCAAAAGAGCAGAAGGTATGCAACTCAGAACTAGCCTTGGCAAGTTCTCCACCAAGATCTGGGCAGGCAACCAAGGAGGCTACAAGGAAATAAATTCTAGGATGAAGGAGCAACACCAGAATCAGAAACAGAGATAATGAGAGGGACTGACCTTTGTAGGGAGTAATGATGAGAGACCTAGAATGTGCTTTTGGTAGGTGCAGTGAATGAGGACCAGCCTGGAGGCTGGGGCAAGAGGTTTTTGGGGCATTTTGTTCTTTTTTGGAGGGTGTTTTACCACAGTTCCTGCATCTCTGCTTGGTTTATACCTCTTGATACTTCCTACTTATGTCCCTGTGTTTTTTCCCAGGAGTTTATACCAGGGTCCAAATAATGCTTAGCATGAAAACAGATTAATCAAGAACACATACAGTATGTTCACAATTTGTTTTTATGGGCGGGTTCAAATTTTAGCAATTTTAGTTAATTTTTTTTTTTTTTTTTTTTAAAAAGAACGTAATAATGGGTCTCTTGTTTGGTGGCAGTCGGGCTTCCTTCCTGGAGCCAGGCTGATGGCAAACTCTGAAACAGGCCTGAGCTACACTGTGGGACCACAGTCAGTTGATGGAAAAACTGGGAACAGGGTGGCTGGACTTTAATCTAGCAAACTGTGTCTGTTTGTTTGTTAAACTGTGCAGGGCTGTGCTTGATTCCTTGAGGAAGACTTGCCTTGCTGAGGGAATCCTGAGACAACAAAATTAAAACTACTCAGAAGCCGAATAAATACATAAAAAGTGCCTCTCCTAGTTTATAAATTATATGACAATGAAACCCTTATAGTGAGTTATTTACTGGGGCAAAGACCATGTCTTTTTCATTTTTATTTCCCAGCCTCTAAGCACAGTGCCTGGCATATGGTAGGCGTTCCATAAACACGCACTGAACTGAACTGAACTGTCTCGCTTCCTATCCCCACCTCTGGCCCTTTCATCAGGTTAACAGCTGCACTTAACCTTGGCTCAACCTTGGCTCAGCTGCCACTTCCTGAAAGAACCTCCCAGGTCTCCCCAGTACTCACTCTTTCATGCCCTCTCTTTGTAATCACTCATGGCACCTATACGTTTACACCTACAGAGCTCTTTGATAGAAAAAGTTCCAAACAATCAATTCCCAGGAGGGAAGGACTGTGTCCCTTTGTTTTTCAGTTCTATGGTAATTATTGTTTTTGTTGGCACTCGGCAAATATTTGTTAGTAGTGAACCAAGAACCCATAATTTCCATGGTTTCCTCTCATTCTAATAATACTCACAAGGCCTCAAATAATGTGAAATAAATTATTCTGCACATACTCACATAATAGTCAGAGCTTGGGAAAGCAATATTTTGAGAGGCAGTCCATCCAGCTAGGAAGCATTCTGATAAGGAAATGGAAAAACACAAATATCAACCCTGGCGTATACCATGGAAATGTTTGTGGGGAAACATTTATTCTTTTCTAGGCATTTTAGGTTATTTACTTAAAATATGTTCCATTAATTTTAGCCTAAAGGATTTTTTTAAAATTTATGGTTTAAAACTCTTAAATATCATAAATTTCATTAGGGTCAACCTAATAATTTGGCCATATGTAAGTAGTTTTTCTATGGCATTGTTCAGTACCTTGGGAGTAAGAAAAGAGAAATACTGTTCTGATCCAAAATACGATACTAAGGAATATGAGATCTGGTGAATAATGAGGTTATTTTCTGGTTACAGGAAAAAGAAAAAGCAGAAACCAAAATTAGTCACATTTAATCTAATACAGAAATATTTATAATAAGCCAGTGTACAGCATCCAATTATTCTCATCAATAACTTAATAAGCAGAATTCCAAGAGAATGATTAAGGCGAAAAGAAATATCCAAAAGGGCCACTGCTTTAATTCATCCAACTATATTAACAAAGCAACTGCCACGTCAGGCGGCAAGCTCAGCACTAAAGCAGCAGTGAGAAAAAATGAAGGGACCATGCTCTCAAAAGCATACACCTAGGAAAGGCTCCCAGTCTCTCATCACACCCTTGTTCTGCCTCCTCTTCTTCCTCCTAATTTATGTAGTAAACTCTGGTCTTGGGCAGGGCCACAGGAGATGTTCACCTTCCCCTGAAGCAAATTATTTCTCTTCCCTTGGTCAGAATTCCTTAGAGACCAAGTTGTGCACCAACCAAGTGTCAATAATATTCTTAGAATAGACTAATCAGTCACCCAACTGATGTGGGGGGATCTGTAAATGAGGATTGGGGCTGGAACATCCACAACTTGTGTTCAATAACTTGTTCAAGTTGTCAAGCTTGGCTCTGGTCTTCTGAGAAATCACGTATATTGCTTGACCCATCTATTACTGGGAAAAAGATGACATTTGTACAGCCAATTTAACCAGCCTTATCTAAAAGCAAAGCTTTCATTTACTTATTTAACCATGCAGTGTGTTACAAATACCCCTAGCTCTTAGAAGATGGCGCAATTTAGTTCTATTAACTCATTTTGTGACTTTAGGAAAATAATATAACCTCTCAATGCCCACTTATTTATTTGTAAAATATTAACAATCATATGGGTATTTTTGAGGATTAAATGAGACAATACATGTAAAGCACTTAGTGAAATATTGGCATACAGTAAGAATCCAGAAAATGTTGGTATTATGACCAATATTACTGTATTACTCATATCATTATATCTCTCTTTCCATGTATTTCTTACTGAAGAAATCTAGGTTCTAGTTAGATTGAAGAGATCTGAGGAGATGACAAAAAAAAAAAAAAGTCCAGTATCTTCATTCAGTCATTCTACAAATATTTATTGAGCTTCTTTAGGGTTTCAGGGCTAGCTTCCTGGTTCATATGGGTGACAAACTGCAGGCTAAGAAAGGAGAGGGTAGAACTGCAGAAAAATAAATGCAGCACTTATTAATGGGACCAAACTAAGGTTCAAATTCTGAGGACAGTAACCATAAAGTCTGAAGGGTTCGGGTGCAGAAATAAACATCAGGGTCACTTGGCAGCGTTAAGTCTCAGAAAATCACATTAAACTTTAACAAGAGGCAAACTTAGAAAACTTTCTTACCTAAGACAGGCCCTGTTTAACCCTAATCCAAGAAGCCTAAAGAAAAATTCCCAGTCTTAAATAAGTATAAATTTCATTCAATATGGTTTGATATGCTATTGGTTTATCATATAAAAAATTAATGAATAGAACATATGTACACTGACAATATCTTCTAAACATGAACTGAAGGTCTGTGCAGAAATGGATACATAGCACTGGGTTAGGAATCAAAATCCAGCCTAACAAGAATAATGTGCTGAGCAATAAAATATGAAAGAAAAACCAAATGCTCAGACTGAAGACCTATATCTCCTCATGGTTAGGCTTAAAGAAATTGAAGCTGGCCATGGAGGATCGGCAGTGAAGTATCTGGAATTCCCCAAACTGTCTGCAGTTATTGTTATTTGCTGACTGATTTCACCAACTACAATTTCTGTTTTTCATAGAAAATGGTTCATTATGAAATGCCAGAACCATCCTACTGCTAACACAAAAGCCTCAGAAAACTGCATATACGCAGACTCCACATGTCATGTGAAAGGCTAGAAAAAGAGAAAGGCAATCTCCCAAGAATCCTGAAGTCCAATTACAAGCTAACAATTAGCCTGCTAGACTTCTATGGACTCTGGAAGAAGACATAACATTCCTGGGTCAGAGACAATTGACTTTATTACACTCAGCAACAGCAGTAGCCTGAGTATCAGCATTATCTTACACTAGTTCTTAGAACACTAATTCCCACAGGGCAACATAAAGAGGGTCAATTTGTACACAAAATAAGGACTATAGGAGAAGTATCCGCAGAATTTAGGAAATCTGAATCTTTTATGGTGAGCAGTAATTATGCTTGTCCATTTCTCTGGAGGTAGATCCTATATCTAGAATGTTCACTGTACAAAAATTCTTAAAATGATAGAATGTAATAAAGTTAGCTCCTCTGTTAACAAGACATGTAAAAATGTGAGAAACCCATGGATTATTGTCTGCCAACATGACCAAAACACTCGGAGCACTCACAGAACGGTCTCAGGTGCTTGGCATCATGACTGAAGACAATTTGAATGTCTCTGGATCTTCAAAGCCCTTTCTTATTCAGGTTTTCATCTAATCAGCATAAACCATTATCATATATTCCCAAGAACATTTTCCTGAGCTTCTCAACCATTTATGGTATCCATTCCCTTGTTTTTAAGGTCATCATAAATTTCAGAAATTTTGTCTTTAGAATTTTGGGATTCATGATAGAAAAGGCTTCTGTAGGAGAGAACATCTCTCTTTCACTAGCACTAAAATAATATTTCAAGGTATGGTGTATGGCTATCATGGGTTGAGGTTAGGCATAGTCTCATTGTAGACTCAGTGCATTTCAATAATGATGCTCTGTGCATCCCCCTACCAGGCCTCCCAAACCTCCTAAGTAAGCTTGTTAATGCTGGATAGTAATGGAGGCATGAGTCCTAGCTTTAATGCTTCCTAGCTGCTGCTTTGAGTAAGTCACTTCTCCTTCCTCTACTTTAGTCTCTGCCTTGTGAAATGGGGATAATACAATTCACTCTTCACAGCTCACACAGTTTTAGAGAAAGTCAAATGACATAATATAAGTGAAGGCATTTTATAGTCAAAAAAGGATCATGAAAGTACTTTAATACTATAATGAGTATTTCCTGAAGCTTGCTCACACATTCAGGGATGGCTGTGAGTGCAGACACAGAGAAAATTTAGTCTCACCTTCAGAAACTGGATCATTGCAATGCACTAAGCAGAGTTGTATGTGGTTAGTTATTTGCAATTGGATGCCTGTGTTATTAGATGTCCAGGTAAATCTTTTTTTACCACCAAGGATCTGGAAGGAGGTTGTAGGGTAAAAAGGGGAGGGAGGAGAAGAAAATGGTATTTCATAAGCCATTTCCAAATGCATAAAAATAGCTAAGGTTTTATGACACCAAACTTGGCTTTTGGTTAACTTTTCAGTGAGTAGGAAAGATAAAAATATACTATCCACATTTTATTAGCATCTTCATAAATATACTGTCATGTTTTTATCTTTTTCTTAGGAAACCAACGAGATTATTGTCAAAGTATATTATCTTTCCCCAACAGTGTCAGAGTGCATTTATAGGCAGTCCACAAAGGTTTCAGGAGAAGTAGTTTAAAACCCATAAAAGATGCATGGCAGCTGATGAAACAGTTCTCATGCTACAAATTGTACAGATTTGGATCAAGAATTCTAATTTCTGCCTAACTTTACAGCAGTGGAAAGTCTTATAGACTTTTAATATAGTAAAAGGAGAAAAAGAACAAGTACTCACTGGTCAGATGGGAAAAAAAAGAAAGCAGAAGAAAGTGAAGGGAACAGGGATCTGCCACTATTACAAATAGTTTTGAAATTAAAAAAAAAGAATAAGAATGAAAAGAACTAAAACATGAAAATATGAATAAATTCTTATGACACTGTACTATTTCTTTTAGGAACTTGATCCAGATTGTTCCCATTCCTCAGAATCTTGTTCTCAATCTTTTTTTCAGAAGTTGTAGAATTTTGGCAAAGATATGGCTTAAAAGAACAAATTTTTCCATTAAAATTCAAGTGAAAAAAGAATCAATTCCCTTCCCTAAATTCTCTTGAAAACTCAAATGCTTTGAATAAGCACTGAAATTAGATTTGTCTAAGTATGTTTCTAATTGCATCAAATGGTCTAGAAAAAAGTGAGTCACACAGTCAAGTATGAAATCCTGTCCAGAGAACAGTGAGTCCAGAAGTCAGTTTGGGTACCACGTGTCTTTCAGGTTCTGTTCTGTTTTTCCATCTTTTTTTTCTGTTTCATATTGACCTGTCTTCCAATTCCACAATCCTGTGTTCTGAGTTCACCCTTGTATCTTAATTTTATATATTAATCTATTTTAACTTCTAGAATGTCTATTTGGTCATTACAATTCTCTGTTGAAGTCCTCCATATTATCTATCTTGTCCATCATATTCTCAAGCTTGTTAATCATTGTTATTTTCAAGTCCCTATCTGAAAGTTGTAATACCTAAATCACGTATGGGTTTAATGTCTTTTAATATTGTATTTCAGTCATTTCTTTCTGTTTTACAACATACCTTAAAACATTTTATTGAATGATGAATATCATGGATGAAAAATTATGAGGTTATGAATAATACTTTCCTTCAAAAAGAGGATTAGATTTTCTTTCTGGAAGTCAAACAACAAATATTGGTGGACAACCTTGATCTTTTCTAGACTTAATCAGAAAGTCTGTTAGGGCTTGTCTATTTCAGTTTTCTGGGTATGTTCCCTCCTCCTGGGGCTTGGCAGACATGGTCTGTACTGAAAGCCAGGTTATTTACCAGTGGTCCTCTACCTTGGTAACACTTGAATTCTTATCTTTCCCCAGCACCATGTGGTTGCAAAAACCTGAGATCAGCTGTATGAATGTCCAGATAATCTTTTGTGTTGGTCTTCTTGAAATTCTTGCCCTAAGAAACCTGCTTATGTACAGAGCCTCTTACTAATAAAAGTAGAGAACAAGAAAAATCTGGACAGTTAAGGGCTGAGTTACAGAAATTCTTTACCAGAAAGGTCAAAGGTTCCATCAAAAGATAAGATGAAGCAAAATCTATTCATGATGTAGAGATTCATCCTGGGGTATTCATATATGTATATGGGAAAGTTGTTTCAGATTCATTATTCCATTGTCTTTCCCATTCTTACCCCATCATTCATAATCTATTGAATTTCTATTCTTTCCCAGCCCCTTATTGTGTGTTAGCATCCACATGTCAGAGAGAATAGTCAACCTTTGTTATTTTTAGGATTAGCTTATTTCACTTAGCATGAGAGTCTTTAGATCCATCCATTTAAACCCAAGGCCAACATCATTCTACATGGAAAAACAAAAGAAGAAGAAGAAGGGCTCAAATTATGTATCCACAATAAGATCTTATATTTAGAAGACCCAAAAAAACTCCATGAGAAAATTTCTAGAGACCCTAAACAAATTCAGTAAAGTAGCAGGATATAAAATTAACACCAATAAATCAACTGTGTTCCTATATACCGATGATGAATCAGCTGAAAGAGAAATTAGGAAAACTATTCTATTCACAATAACCTCAAAATAAAATAAAATACTTGGGAATCAATCAAACAAAAAGAGGTGAAAGACTTCTACAATGAAAACTACAGAACACTTAAAAAAAAAAACTAAATTGAAGAAGAACTTAGAAGATGAAAAGATCTCCTGTTTGTGGACAGGCAGAATTAATATAATACCAAAAGCTTTATGCAGAGTTAATGCAATTCCTAGTAAAATTCCAATGACTTTTTCATAGAAATAGAAAGAGCAGCCATGAAATTAATTTGGAAAAATAAGAGGCTCAGAATAGCCAAAGAAATCCTTAGTAAGAAAAGTGAACCATGAGGCATCACAATACCAGACCTTAAATTATACCACAGAGATATAGTAACAAAACTGGCATAGTATTGCCACCAAAATAAACATGAAGACCAATGGAATAGAATAGAAGACACAGAGACAAACACATATAAATACACCTATCTCATACTAGACAAAGATGCCATAAATATACACTGAAGAAAAGTTAGCCTCTTCAACAAATGGTGCTAGGCAAATTGAAAATCTCATTATAGCAGAATAAAATTTAACACCTATCTCTCACCCTGCACAAAACTCAATTCAAAGTAGATCAAAGACCTAGGGATTAGGCCAGAAACCCTGCACCTACTAGAAGAAAATATAGGCCCAACACTCCATCATGTCAGCTCTGATTTTTTTTTTAATTTGGGATAGTAAATCTTTCACCTTCCTTGATAACATTAACCATTAAAGTAAATATAATATCTACCATTCTGGAGATACTTATTACATACAGCAACAATATTGTAAATACTTTAAATCAAAGACATTTCATTGAATTCTCAGAATAATCCTCAAAGGTAGGGTCTTCTACACTCCCCATACTCCAGAGAGACAACTAAGACACAAACTCTCACAATAATGAGGGGCAGAACCAGCTTCACCAAGAGGTCAGGCTCCATAGCTCAGATTTATAACCCCTGTGCCCAGCGATGCACATTCACTATAGTCAATTAATATGAGATCATTCAAGATGTGGAGAATTACTAAAACCAAAGTTAGAATTCAATTTACTCTTTTCCATTTATTTTTATTTTATGTAGAGTATATTTCTCGACAGTAAATAGGACACAATGATGTAATTAGAAAAGAAATGATAAATGAGGAGAGTACAGAAGAACAACCAAAAGCAAGAGACAGAGCTATTATTAGGAGACTTGTTCTTAACACCAGTTCTACCACTAACTAGCTTTGTGACTTCAGATAAGTCTTTAAATATATATCCTGAGGCTTAAGGGGGAAAACCCCTCCAATTTTATCTACATAAATGTTCATGTGTTTTAGGAATTATGTCAATTGCATCACTAAATGTTGTTAAAATTATTGTTATTCAAGGAATAACTGCCAATAACAGTCATGATTTAATTTCTATTACACTGTCGTAAACCAAGGTTTAAACAAAAGAAAAAAATGATCATAAGGCAGTTTAGAAATGGTTTCTTTGTCTTATGGGACTTCCCTATAGATAAAAATAAACTGTCACTTGACAGTTTCCTGTCTGATCTTCTCCTTCACTACTCTCCAGCTTCCTGAAGATAAAACCCCAAGATATAAACTCTAGAGGCCAAATTTAGCAGATATGGTAATTAGAAACCCCATTTAAAGTGTATTCATTTGATAGGACAAATACTGTGACTTTTTTTTTTTTTTTTTTTTTTGGTGCTGGGGATTGAACCAGGCCTTGTGCATGAAAGGCAAGCACTTTACCAACTGAGCTATATCCCCAGTCCCCTTGGCTTTTATTTTAAGAAAAGAGAAATATAAAGCTTAAAACCCCAATTTTGCTGCATTTATATGCAAGAAAAATCTAGTTCACAAATGGAAATACTAAATGATAGGATATAGTGTGTATCATGTTTAAAGTTTTAATTATTGTTTGTTTCGTATTTTACCTTTTTCAGATTTGGAAGTCAAGTCCTGTTCATTACTTCTTCTTTTTACTACCTGAAACCAAAGTACATGATGTTACTTTCACAACAAGCTAAAAAGAGAACTCTTATTCCTAAATTAACTAGTTGTATATTGAAAGTTGAAATTATATTGTTTTTCTATTTAGACTTACCCATATAATAATATCTGCTAGCATCTATATATACAGAACTTTTTAACCATATATGTCAACTCTGACTTAATAAATTAACCCAATAAAATTTTTATCTTAAACACTTCCAACTTCCTTTTGGGTGGGAGGAGGTGGAACTCTGACCTTATTTTTTATTCTTTTTTTTTTTTTTTAGTTGTAGATGGACACAATATCTTTGTTTTTTGTTTGTTTGTTTGTTTGCTTTTATGTGGTGCTGAGGATCAAACCCAGAGCCTCACACATGCAAGGCAAGCACTCAACCACTGAGCCACAACCTCAGCCTTGCATTTGTTTTTTTAATTCTTGTTTAAATATAAGCATTGAAGATCAGTCCTCAAATCAAATAGTTCAAAATTAAAAGAAAAAAGAGTTACCAATTTCAGGGAATTTTCAGTTTGCTTTCAATTTAATGTGCTAAGTCTTTTGTGTATTCACTCACAAATCATTGACTCTACATTGTTTTACCCATTTATCTTCCAATCCAGTTATGGTTCTACTGCTTGTTTGACAATAATCTCCTACCTTTATAACACTCGGTTACAGGATCCTCTATCTTATTATGTTCTCAATGAAAGTGACTCCACTACCCATATACATAAATAAATACTGCACATTTAAAAAAAAAAAGCTATTTACCTAAGGAAATCTGCAGAATTTAGGAGCACTGCAGCACAAAGTTTAAGTTCATATGTAACTCCTAATATTCTCATTTTGGGTCACAGAGAAGCTAGATGTGAGAAAAGAGACTGCAAAGTTCTGCTGTAAGACTCAAGTACTTTCCAACTTTTGTGACTGAGAGAATTTCCAAGAGTTATATGCAGTAGGAAATAGTTTTACATGATAGAGAAAAGGCATGATATATCTCTGCAAGCTAAGTTCAGTTCATGCCGATTCATACTTAACTAAGATTCTAAGCATTCTGCTAGGGTCATGGAAACAAGAAAGATAACTTCAAGCTGAGGCTAAGGAATTTCTAGGGAAAATAATACACTCCAAAAATCTCCTCCTGAGACAAAAACCCATTTGTGCTAAGACCAACTAGTCTCCCCTCTCATTTTATATTTTACTTCTCTTCCAAATAGCATTGTGAGGACCAAATGGCATCGTTGCTATCACCCAAAGCGAGATATGTGAACTTGTTTCTAACCACCAACTGCATAGAAGCACTTGTCCCATTTTCGTCTTATATAAAAATTTTGTGTATAATCAAAAAGTTCGTCAGGAGACTGAAAAACTCATAATCAAATGAATTCGGAAATGGTGGCACATTCCACTGTATTTGTTACAAACAATGTTGCTCAGTTCTTGGAAAACATTTTAAAACTAATCAGTCACCATTTCTAACCTAAAAATACTTCACCTAATCATCACTTATTTGCTCTGGGAGTACAAATTATAAAAATTTTTTGAGTGTTAGCCAAGTATTTATATAGAAAGTTCTTTATTAACTTAAATTTTGAATAAACATCATGCCTTTATTAACATAATTATTTTAAATTAGGTTTTTAAAGTAGGTGTCTCTAAGGAGCTTAATGGAAAAATAGTGAGGTGGTAGCATTTATGCTGGTTTAAAGGAAAGTATTATATACATTACACAACTGCTATAATTTCTTCCAAGTAAATTTAACCAGGAAAATTATAAATCTTTCCTATTATACAAAAAAAAATATGCTCTATTGAGGCAAAAGTTACTAAACAAATTAAAACAAAAAATATTCCTGAGTTCAACCTTTTTCATAATTTCATGAAATTTTAACTTACTATCATGATCTTATGTCTGTGTTGTGTGTGACAAACTGAGTGATTTTCTCTTTTTCAGAATCATATATCCATTCATTTATGTAACAAGAAGTAGGTACTTCAATGCTTTTTTTCCTTTTTATAGACCATATGACCTGACAAACATTGATAGGCCACCAAATACTCTTTGCTCTACAAAAAGTGATATGGTGTCTGGAAAACCTATGGAATAGGTTAGACCTGGTGAGAATTCTGGCTTCACGATTTATTAGTTCTGAGATGTATACAAGATACATAAATGATGTCTGCAGGCCCCTCCCCCATTTCTTAAAAGGGAGTAATTTTATAAGGTGCAGGATTAGCTGAAGATTTGACCTAAGCTTATGTAATCAGTCTAGCACAGGCCATCAATTAATGGTGACACTAAAGGTTGAGCATCCTTATCCAAAGTGTGTAGGATGAGAATTATTTCAGATTTCAGATTTTTTTTCAGATCTTAGAATATTTTCATAAACAAAATGAGATATCTGGGTATAGGACTCAAGTTGAAACACAAAATTCATTTGTTTTATGCCGCAGTCCGGCTGCAGCAAAATAACCAGGGGGTGACGAACAACTTGTGTACATTGATACAGCAGGAGTGGGAGCC